GGGTATTAAGTATATACTATTTCAACACCAATCCCTTTACCAGTGTCCACTTCCTCTACCAATGTCCCCAGTTTTTATCCTGCCTCCTAGCATTCCTCTATGGCAGGCACTTTTTCCTTTTTCTTTCTTCCTTTTAGGCATTGTGGTTTATAGTACTGTTACTGATGGGGTATCATAAATATCACTTTAACTTCTTTCGTCTCTCATTCTTCAATTCTTTTGTTGTTGCCATTGATCTCTGTGAATACTTTATATATCCATGATATCAACCTTTATCTGATGTACTGAGTACAAGTATTTACTCCCATTCAATTAGCTATCTTTTAATTTTAGCTTGTGTGTCTTTTGTGGTACAGTAACTCTTTAATTTTACATAGTCCCATGTGTTTATTTTTAATATTGATGCCTTTGCAATGTCATCATGTCATATCATGAATACACCTTTGAGGTTCAACTTTTGGAACATCAGCCTATATTTTCCTTAATGTACTTTACAGGTTCCAATCTTATCTCAAGATCTTTGTTCCACTTTGAATTGACCTGTATAAGGTGTGAGATATGGATCCAAATTTTATTTTTTAAGCATCCTTTTTGAGTTTTTCCAGCACCACTTTTTGGAGAAGGTATCTTTATTCTATTTCATATCCTCAGCTACTTTGTTGAAAATTAACTGTCCACTAATATAGGATTTTATCCTTGTGTATTCAATTCTTACCCATTGGTCACAGAGTCTTTTCTTATTCCAATACCATGTTATTTTGATCACTAGATATTTATAGTATAGTTTCAAGTTAACAAGATGCTTTCCAGTTTCTTATTTTTCAGAATTGCTTTGGCTATTCTGGATTTTTATATTTCCTTACAAACTTTATTACTGACTGCTTTAAGACCTTTGAAGAACTGAATTTGGATGAGGATAGCATTGAATCTATATAGTAGTTTAAGTAGCATGGCCATTTTGACAGTAGTGATTCTTCCAATCCATGACCATAAAATACGTTTCTATTTTTTAAAGTCTTCTTTATTATTTTCTAAAGTGATTGAAAGTTTTCATTGTGTAGATATCCCTCCTCTTTTGTTGATTCCCAAATACTTAATGTTCTTGAACACTATTTTGGATGGGATATATTCTTTGATCGCTTTCTTTTCCGATTCTACTTTGGGAGTTTGGGGGAGGGTCACCACTGGCCTTGCTGATGGTGCTTAGGGATCATACCTGGTACAAAAGATTTGAATTTGGGTCAGCATGATGCAAAGCATAAAATTTAGGCTCTATGTTAACTGGCCCCTCAATAATTGCCACTTTTATGTAGACAGATTTTTCCCTGTCACTAAAAACAAATATAATTAAAACAAGATTGTATTGGGAGGAGTTCACATTAAAACAATAAGCTTATGATTCATTTAGCAATAAATGATGAAAGTGGAGTACAAAGCACTTTATATGTAGGCTTAGGGAACAAGGTAGCTGACAAATAGAGTGGCCATCCTTCCATCTCAAATCTAACCCAATTTAATGCCTAAATTTATACCATATTTCAAAAGTTATTAAAACAAATTAGTAATTTTAATTTTGGAAGGGCCTCTTGACATCCAGGTCTTATCTGTTCTTGCCTTCTGAATATATGTTTGTATCAATAACATAAGTCACTACCTATTGTCCCATTGTTCCTCTACTGCACTTTCATCAGAGGAATGCTACTGCATCTCAGTGGCTCCACTTTGTGCTACTGACCCAAGTGTTGCCAGGAGAAGACCTATACTTTAAAAATAGGGAGAAAAAATTGAAAATCATGATATACTGTAGCACTGTAGCACTGTCCTCCCACTGTTCATTGATTTGCTCAAGCGGACACCAGTAACATCTCCATTATTGTTACTGTTTTTGGCATATCGAATATGCCACAGGTAGCTCGCCAGGTTCTGCCGTGTGGGTGGGATACTCTCGGTAGCTTGACAGGCTCTCCAAGAGGGACGGAGGAATTGAATCCGGGTAGGCCGTATGCAAGGCAAATGCCCTACAAATATCAGAAATAAGTACCAGAAACATATTTGAAAAAACATGTTAACAGTTTGACTAGGAAAAAAAAAACTTCATAAAACTAGTAGCAATAGTCATCAGGAGCTATATGCCAGCCACATTCTAAATGTACTGTAACATAATGATTAAGCAGTCAACTTCCAAGTTTGACAGATCAAAGAGTCAAATCTTTGTTATTTAACATTAAGCAAGTAACTCACCAACACTCATGTCCTATGTAAAATGGGAATAAACAAGATCTACTAACAATAAAATTAGGCACAGTTGTATCAGGTAACTAGAGCAACCTGAATGAATGGCCACAAATTTGGTGACATAAAAGAACAAAAGTTTATTGATTCTGGAATAAACTTCTAGATTAGAGGCTAGAAGTCAAGTCAAGTTGTATGCAGAATTATGCTCTCTCTGAAGACTCAAGGGAATAATCTTGTCTGTACTCAGCTTCTGGTAGTTTCTGCCAATCTTTTGCACTCCTTGGTTTGTATATGCTTCATTCTCATCTCTGTCTTCTTATGCCTACATTCCCGTCCCTGTGTGACTTTTTGTCCATATGTTCCTTTTCTTAAGGATATTTGTCCCATAAGCCATCTGCTTGCAGGCGCCAGATAATCTTGTCACCATCCAGATCACATGGCTTTCTCTCCCAGAAAGGAGCAACATGACTCCTGCCATAGCCATGCCACCAGACCCCGTGCCAGGCTGTTTGACTCAGGGTGCCCCAGAGGGGGGTGGGTGAGAGCCTTCCCTGCTCCAAGGGACCCAGCCCTGGCAGCCGAAAACTTCCACAACTGCTGCCATGCTCAAGGCCTTTCCCCACTTGCTAGGACTGAGCATCACGCAGGAGTGAACCTATTCCTGAACTGAACGGCTGCATTTGCAACTTCACAACGCATCATAAGACACACCTTACCCATTCTCCAAGAGTACCACACCACATGTGGTGGGGTTCAAATAGTAGGCAACCAATATTAGAGTAAAAAATATATATAAATATATATATATGTCCATATATATTTTCTTTTAGATATATATATATGAAAATTCACATCACTCAAACTGTAACAACATGTTAGTGATATCCTAAAGATGGTCTTAATGGCCCCTACCAAAATAGAACAATCTTCACACTGTTTCCTCTATGGATACTTTTTTGGTAGCATTTTCAACAGTTTTTCATAACAAACAATACAAAAATATATTATTTCAGTTGTGCTTTGGGACAGGGACTGGGGCTTGGGATGGAAATATCCCAAATATGGTGGTGGGAAGGTGTAATGGTGGTGGGATTGGTGTTTGAATATTAAATGTAATCAAGTATTGTGAACTACCTTATAAAATAAAATTTTTTAAAGAAAAAAGATATTTGTCATACTAAATTTAGGGTGTTCTACATGACTTCATCCCAATAATGTCACATTCACAAAAGATAAGTGGAACTAGATTTGACAGAAGAGGAGGAACACTCTTCAACTCAGTGCCATACTAAAGAAATATTCAGTGATAGCTATCAAAATGATTATTATTTAATTCTAATCACAAACCTTGGGGGTAGATATTCATTGAATAACAAATTTAAATTTAAGAGCTAGGTCATTAAATAATGTCTAAACAAGTTGCAGAATTGACATGCAAATTTGCCTTCTTTACCTTTAAAATTGGGAAGTTTAAGGTGTCACACTTTAACCCAAAGCTATTTTCAGGACAGTTCTTGGGGATGACAAGGTGAATAGAAACCAAGGTATATGTGAAATTGATGTCTTGAAACCATGAATAACAAGGCTAGAAGAACTCTGTACACTTTATAAGCCAATCCTTACTCCCCACATTTTTAGGAGACAGATAATCAGAAATTATATGACTTATCCAGAGCCCCAAGTACTAACCAGGACCGACCCTGCTTAGCTTCCGAGATCAGACGAGATCGGGCGCGTTCAGGGTGGTATGGAGCGATAGCACAGCGGTAGGGCGTTCGCCTTACAAGCGGCCAACATGGCCGACCTGAGTTCGAGTCCTCTGCCCCTCTCGGAGAGCCCGGCAAGCTACCGAGAGTATTGGATATGCCAGACACAGTAACAACAAAGTCTCCAATGGAGACGTTACTGGGCCCTCTCGAGCAAATCGATGATCAACGGGAGGGCCTTTACCTTTACCTTTACCATATCCAGAGCCCCATATCTGAAATATCCTTTATTCCTATGCACGTGTTTGGCCTGAAGATCCTTGTTGTGGTAGCTATAAATTAGACCAGAAGTCAGCACACCCTCCCTGCCCTATGATAGTCATTTTAATCTTGCCTGTGTCTGTTAGACAAGAAACATGTCAATGGGGCCCTGACGCTACTATGCATCAATAGGGGCAGCTATTCGCAGTGGAACCCAGTCACAGGTCTACTTCCAGCATTCTCACTCCAAAATAAAACCAAATTGATTCCAAAGCTGAGAAACCCTGAAAGGCTATGGTCACAAAAACATAAATGTCAGTGTTGTTGATCCAATCTGGAAAAATCTCAAAACATATAAGAATTTGAGCTTGTAAACAATGTCACTTCAATGAAAAATAAAAGAATAAAAATGATTTGGGAAATTGTAAAAATTCAAACACCAACATTTATATTGCTGAGTGTTTTAAGGATCCACACAAAAGTTATTTTTAATAAAATTAATTTGAAAAGTCAATATAAAAGCAGAGACAAACTTGGTCAAATTAATTTATGAGGAGATGGCAGCAGAGTAGGCAGGGAACTTTACTGCCAGAACTCAAATGCAAAAGGTATGCAAAAGTTCTTATTCGTTTGTAAACATGCTTAAAATTCATGACCCATGTACTATAATGTGAGTGCATACATTGTTTAGCAACTGTCAAGTGGGTGAAAATCACTACTACTGCATTCTTATGAATATTTTTAAAATAACATCATTAGGCACACATGGTACTGATGCTTTAAAATTTAATTTCACAGATGAAAGAACTTGGTGTCATCTTCTACAACTGCAGCTGCCTGGTCCTAGATTTACAAAGGATTTTTGCTTTATATAGTTCATTAAAATTCAAGAGCAGAGTACCTCAGACCTGGTCCAAGAGACTTTATGGAGTCTATGACAATGAAAAGAAATTGCAACTTCAGTTGAATGAAACCAAATCTCAAGCATTTGTGTCGGTGAGTTTTCTTCTTTATTCTCTTCCACTCTTGTTTCTCCAACTTTGTTAAGTTGGAATGTTTAAGTATAATCTATTGTTGTCCAAAATCAACTAATCAAATAGGTTCTGTCCCACCTTTTGAAGAGTTAAAATGTACTAACTTTGATGCCAGTCATATTGTCCCTAACAACAATGACTAAATCATCCTTCCTATTTTCTGATGCTCTTTGTTGTTACCTTGTTAAATTCCCACAATCATTCTATAGATGCTGCAATCCTATGTCAGATTACCCTATTACAAACTACCCACACAAACATCCTCAGATGGCAGGTGCCCATAAGAAAATAGCACACAGCTCTCCTGATAATAGATTCAGTGACCTTTCATCAATAATTTTCAGATTGGGTGAGCGGGGGTTGCTCAGGGGTCTGGATACCTCACTGGTGATTCTAGGCCAATCTACCTGTTTGTTCAGTGCAGGGGCCAGAGGATGCGATGCTATTCTGGCTCTGAAATACCAGGGATATCCAGGCCTCCAGGACCACATCTGGTGGTGGTTATGGGACTTCATTGACTACATCTAGCAACACTCAAAAGACCATGTGGCACCAGGAATTGAACCCGGATATTATCTCCTGTACTAATCCAATAATGTCTTCTGGCCCCTTTCAGACATTTTTAAAAATAGCAAGCAAGTCAGAAATAAAACAGACAGAAAAGAACTGTTGTATTTAACTGAGACTGGAAGGCAAAAGATCTTTCCTGAAAATCATCTCCCTAACCACCTACTCCACTTACTTCCCACTCCACATCCATCCCATCCTATACCCCACTTAGCTTTTCCCTTCCCAAATAAATCCCTCCTCCGGGGTCACTATTCCATTCTCCTTCCACCCTATCATTTACATCCCACAGCTACCGTGTAATGGTACTGGGAATAGGTATTCAATGCCTGGGCCACAAGAATTGTCCTAAAACCTTAAAGCACTGAAGAACCAATTGGAAAATGTACTTAAAATACAGATTTCCAGTATCCCCTGCTTAGACAAACTTTTCTGAGGTCCCAATTTAACATGGATATTTCTGCAGGAATTCATAAAGGTAAAGGTAAAGGCCCTCCTGTTGTTCATCGATTCGCTCGAGCGGGCCCAGTAACGTCTCCATTGGAGATTTAGTTGTTACTGTGTTTGGCATATCGAATACGTAGCGGGGAGCTTGCCAGGCTCTGCCGTGCGGGCGAGATACTCTCGGTAGCTTGCCAGGCTCTCCGAGAGGGGTGGAGGAATCGAACTCGGGTCGGCCATGTTGGCTGCATGCAAGGCAAACGCCCTACCGCTGTGCTATCGCTCCAGCCCTTAATACTTTATCTCTGGAGATCTTTTTCATCCCTGAAGATCTCTGAAAAAACTTTTTTTTTTTTGCTTTTTGGGTCACACCCAGCGATGCACAGGGGTTACTCCTGGTTCATGCACTCAGGAATTACTCCTGGTGGTGCTCAGGGGACCATATGGGATGCTGGGAATCGAACCCGGGTCAGGCCGCGTGCAAGGCAAACACCCTACCCATTGTGCTATCACTCCAGCCCCCTCTGAAAAACTTTTGTCCCTGAAAATCTCACTGAAAAGTGACTTGTGTCCCTCTTTTACCTATTAAGTTAAAGTACAATCTAAAATTTCAGGAATATTTTTATATAGAGAAAAAAGAGTTGACCTTATTCACTTAAATACACAGAAATATTAAATAAACTGAAAAGTTTTCATAAATATAACCAAAATATGGGGAGAGGTTATGTGTGGGAAATAATGACACGGTTGCAAGTAGCATATTGTATGGGGCATTTTATCAGTAGTTATTTCTTGTATTCATTTTCATCTTCTCTCAAGACAATACTAGAAAACAATGAAAACCAGATAGTCTTGATTTGTAAGTTGAAAAGAAAATCTGCCAACAAAACTAAAGTCAGATATTTTGCAAACCACAACACCCAATAGGAGAGAGAGAACAAAAGGGAATGCCCTGCTACAGAGACAGGGTGGGATGGGAGGGATGGGAGGTGGGAGGGATACTGGGATCCATGGTGGTGGGAAATGGGCACTGGTGGAGGGATGGGTATTTGATCATTGTATAATTGAAACCCAAGCACAAAAATTTGTAAGTCTACAACTGTAGCTCATGGTGTCTTACTAATAAAAATTAAAAAAAAAAAAGACTGCCAACTCAGTCAGGAAGATGAGAAAGACCCAGAAATTGAAAATGAAACAAAATAACCGGTTCTTTGAAGGATTACCAAAAGAGTAAATGCTCCAGAAGCTAAATTTAAAAACTGTTTCAAGAGAGTGGGAGAATATTGATGAAAATTGCAGAAAATTCTGTTTTCGACAAAAGTAATGAAAAAGATGGCAGAAATAGAATCAATCTTTTTCAAGCGTCTGCACACTTTCAGAGGTTTGCAGCAAGTTGGGAGAGTTCATTAAATAAAATGAAATGAATTCCAAGAAAAAAAATAAAGTCAGATAGAAGCAGGATGACACCACAAGAGATACTTGTTCAACTTGACTCAGAAAAACAGATAGGATGCAATGAGAAATTATAATTAAATTTAATTAATTTAACTTTCTTCACTAATACATTTAAATCTACAAAATATAGGTAAATCTTACTAATATGTAATTTAGAACTGAGGAAAGGAGAAATTTTTTTCAACATTCTCCTTTAAGGAAATGTGAACAGACCTATGAAAGTACAAAATTATATTTTATCATAAAAAGAGAATATTGGCACCTGCCCTCTAAAAGCTCCAGCGGTAACCATTTTCTAGAAGCCAGCGAAAAGTACCAAGTACTAGTTTGCAGTGATGGCAAATCCCAAGTCTTGAGGGACAGGGGAGGAGTGGGCCCTCCTTCTTCCCACCTCAATGGGACACCAGATGATGTCACAACCGCCCACTGTCTACTTATGCTCCCATGTGGTCACAATCCAGAAACACACAGATGAAACTTGGACCGAGCAACTTTCGGCAGAGATGGCCCTGGACTTTGCAAAAGGCCTTCTCCGCTGGGCTGCTCCAGATGGGGGCAGGTGTTGTCCCTCTGCCTGTCCTCTAAGAGCTCCATCAGTCGCCATTTTCTAGAAGCCATCGAGAAACACCAAGTACGAGTTGGAGGTTATCGAAAATTCCAATTCTCGAGGAACAAGGGAGGAGCGGGCTCTCCTTCCCCCAGCCCTGATGGGATGCCAAGATGATGTCACATCTGCCCACTGTCTACTTAAGCTCCCACGTGGCCACAATCCTGAGACACACAAACGAATTTTGGACCCCAGCAACTTGCTGCAGCGATTTCTTCAGACCTTAATTATTAAAATCTTAGAATTCCTTGAGCTTCTCTCGTGGCTGCGTGACATTATACTATATTCATAACAAGCAATACAAAACACATTGTCTAGCATTGCATTTTTGGCGGTATGAGGGGTGGAAGGACTGGTCTTGAAATATCGAAGGTAACTAAAGTAGAGAAAGAATATTTTGCAAATTGTCTGCCATACAGGTAGGGGGAGATGTGGAATGGGGAGGAAATCTGGAGATTTTGGTGGTGGAAAGCATGTACTGGTGAAGGGATAGTTGTTTAATAACCGTATGACAAAGTTCAAATATGAGATTTTTGTTACTGTACCTCATGGTGAATTAATTAAAATTTTTTTAAAAAGACATAGAATATTGGGGCTGAGAAATAGTAGTGGGGGGGAGGGCTGTAGCAATAGCACAGCGGGTAAGTTTGCCTTGCACGCGGTCGACCCAGGTTCGATTCCCAGCATCCCATATGGTCTCCTGAGCACCACCAGGAGTAATTCCTGAATGCAGAGCCAGAAGTAACACTGGTGCATTGCCGGATGTGACCCAAAAAGTAAAAATAAATAAATAAATAAAAATAAAATTTAAAAAAGAAAGAAAGAAATAGTAGTGGGTAAGGCACTTGCCTTGCATGTGACCAACCCAGGTTAATTTTCTAGCATCCCAAATGGTCTCCTAAGTACCTTCAGGAGTAATTCCTGAGTACAGAACCAAGAGTAGTACCCCTAAACATCACTGGATGTGGCCCCAAAACCAAAACAAATAAATAATCTTAGAAACATTTATAACACGGATAATGCTTAAGTACCTGCATTAATTAGTAAAAGAGTCTAATAAAAATTTGTAGAGGTGTAAAAAAAATGACCTGCATAGGCATAGACCATTTAATACAAGTGAAATATTGATTCTTTAGTGAAAAAAGTATAAAAACCCTTAGCAAGCTAGAAACAGACATTTTTATTGTAGTAGAGGCCAACCATAAGCATCACAAATAAATATCATATTCAATGGCAAGGTGCTGAGAAGATTGTCTTGTCTTTTAAAAAGGGTTTCTTCAAAACTGAAAGATAATCTAGCTGGATAGAATATTCTTGGTGAGGTGTTCATTTCATTGAATTTTTGTACATTACCCCTCCACTTTCTTCTGTTTCACAGAGTCTTATTTGATAAATCTGTGAATCTTAGGGGATTTTCTTTGTGTAAATTCGTTTTTTCATGTAGCCGCTTTCAATATTCAGTTTTTGTCTTTTTCATTCTAGTTATAATGTGCCTTGGAGTTTTCCTAGTACTATTTTCTCTGGGATCCTTCAGACATCTTAGATCAGTGTGTCTACGCATTTTCAACTCTGGAAAATGCTTATTTATAATTTTATTAGTGGTTCTTTTTTGGATATTAACCCCAAGTGTTCTAGGCTTCATCAGTGAATTGCCCCTTTTCCTCCCCCCAGAGAACCTTTACAGTGCTCTTATGAGTACTACTAATCCCCCAAGTTTATATTTAACCTTTCCTTTGTGCTTTACCTCCCATTCTGTTAGCTATTAGATTCTCCAAGTCAGGCTTGGTTACCTATTAAGCCAAACCTTCTGGTGACTCTGGATTTTGTGTCTGTAGTGAATTACTCTTTCCTCTATAACCTTTTTATATTTCACTATAGAACAATTTTCTTTGCTTAAGTACAGAAATACTGTTAATGCTATGCTCCTAATATTTGTGAATTAATTGACTCTGAGACATATCTACTCCTGAGCATGTGTCATAATTACTTGACTCATGCTTCAGTATATCTGAAGAAATATTTTTTTTTCCCAACCCAGAAAGCTGGGTCCCACCGAGAGATCATGGATGGACCTGATGCAAGCAGCAAAGCTACCCTGGATTTGATATGATACAGTCTAGAAATCATAAAGCACAGTCTTGGTACAAGCCATAATGACTTAAAAGAAAGGACCCCATGGAGTAGGAAAAGCTAATCCTGCCTGAGTACTTAGTCTAGGATTTAGGGTAAAAGCCCAGCAGACCTTTAACCTATGCCCTTGCAGTTCACAGAACTTTATTTTGGAATCTATATTTCTTACTGTGTTTATCAAAATAACTGCAAATAGTAATAAGAAGTAAACTTATGGGCTGGAGCTGTAGTACAGTGGGTAGGGCATTTGCTTTGCATGCGGCCAACCCAGGCTCAATTCCCAGTATCCCATATGGTCCCCTGAGCATCACCAGGGGTAATTCCTGAGTGCAAAGCCAGGAGTAGTAACCCCTGTGCATAGCTGGGTGTGACCCAAAAAGGAAAAAAAAGAGGTAAACTTAGTTGTTTAATATCTACTAGCAGCAAGGGAAAGAGAAAAGCAATATAGATGTATGTTGCCCCTGAGCAAATTTCTCAGTATAATTTCAGACAGAATGTTTCCTTGAATTAATCCCCCCACCCAAAGAATTCCCTCTGTTGAAACACTACCTTTATAATAATGATGATGTGTAAATGATCAATCACACCTCCGTGCAGTCCTTGACATCAACCCCCCTCTGATGTTCTATAAGTATGCTATTTAGTTCTGAGATAAATGTCCACTGTCCACTGTCCGTTGACCTGAATCAATCTGTAGGTTCCTGTCTCTTCATTTCTCCACCACGGAGGCCAGGGAGGCGGTTCTTGGCCACTGAACATGTCGTACCAAGGAATCTCTCAATTTTTCTTTTCCTTATAGTTCTTCATTGAATTTGTTTTGCTATATTTCAGAGATTGATGATTCTTGTAGTTTCTTTGTAAAACTTCTCCTACAGTTCTCTGGTTGGTGTTCATTTCTTTCTAGAATGTTTTCCATCTTATATTTTTAGGGGGATATTTTAGAGGATAATTCATCTTCGAATTTACAAATATTTTACTGACCCACTATTATTCTACTGGTTAGGCCTTCTATTGACTTTTTTTTATATCACCTACCATACTCTGTATTTCTATCATTTCTGATTTCATTTTTATCATTTCTGATCCTATAATTTGCTTTGCCTAATTAACTATACAACAGATTCTTTTGCTTATTACAGATGGTACTGGCAGCACCTTCTGTGCCATTCAAAGGTCATTCAAAGGTCATCTATTTGTGTAATATCTACAGTCACTGATGCTCATTGCTTAAAATGACTGAGAAGGAATTAAAAGTCAGCAATGTTCAATTGTATCGCCTATTATCTTTAATTGTTAGAAGAAATATTTTTCATACATTTATAAAGAAAAGTGATAAAAACCTTCAAAATAGTATATTTTCCCTTTAGTATCCAATAGTGGTTAATGAAATAAAAATTAAATGTGCTTTCTTTAATCATTTTTATTTGAGGGTGGAAGAATTGGTGTTTTTAGCAATATTTAGTGTACTATATTAGTATTATTATTCTGAATGTGTTTAGACATTAAAGAAGAATGAGTGGATGGAGGAGTGAGAACAGGAGACAATACAAAAGAGGGAACAATTTATCTCAGTAACAAATAGAGTTTTTTGTATATATGCATACTAGGGAATAGTAGAGGACAATTTTTATTTTTTAACTAGTACACTAGATTTCTTTTTTAATTGTTTTGAATCTAGGTAGTTTCATTAGACAGTTTTTATTGAAACTTATTTAGAAAAATGTGACAGGAGAGAAAGGGAGAAGTGTGTTCCAGAGAATACAGGCTTCTCCAGGTGAAAATAGCCAAAGAAGCATAGAGACAAGCAAGGAAGATATGTGTTCAAGGAAGAACACTGACTTGAAGAATGAGACTGGTTTTCTTTTAAATAGAAAAACAAAAGACTAGGAAAATTATGCTTGTTTCCCTCCTCTCCCAAAAAATAATTTATGTGATCAAAAGCTCATTTACCAAGTGAGCTTCCCTCTTTTTAGGGGTACCTGGAGGGTGTGTGACTTCAAAATATCCCTTCTAGGGGCTGGAGTGATAGCATAGTGGGTAGGGCGTTTGCCTTCACGCAGCTGACCTGGGTTCAATTCCCAGCATCCCATATGGTCCCCTGAGCACCGCCAGGGGTAATTCCTGAGTGCAGAGCCAGGAGTTACCCCTGAGCATCACCGGGTGTGACCCAAAAATTTAAAAAAAAAATCAAAATACCCCTTCTAAGTTGGGTGGGATATTGATTCAAAATATTTGGTGATTGTGGGAAGTGGGCACTGGTGGAGGGATGGTATTTGATCATTGTATGATTGAAACCCAAGCACAAAAGTGTGTAAGTCTGCAACTGTACCTCATGATGTCTCACTATTAAAAATTTTTTAATAAAAAAAAAATTTGGTGATTGACTTTGATCAGCTAACACTGACTTTCCAGGAAGTTCTAGAAACTGCTTGACCTTTTTGTTATGGTTAGTATGTATCTGTGTATTAGTTGTGCTCTTAGATTTTCCATAGTGCATTGCTTCTGAGTAAGACTGGAAGTATGTATAAAATTATTTGTCCTTTCCATTGAAAAACATTAAGATGATCAAAGTACACTTTTTCCTTTCTAACAATTTTATCAAGATATAATTACTAATATATCTTGCTACATTTAATATTTTTCCATATTTTACTAAGATAAAAATCACCATAAGTAACATGATAAAAGTACTTCAAACATAATATGCTTCTTTTTCATTTTACTTAAGTCTTTCAGAATATACTTTTTTCCTGGCTCTTCTAATGCATTTGGTTATTATAATAAATCACTTGAGTTTTCTCTTAGAATTATGGATTACCTGTTTTCATTAATAAATTCTCTTATTCCTGATTGCAGAAAAAATTTATTTAAACAGAGGCCCAAGATATTTAGATTGTATGTTCTGAGCATTTTCATAACCCACATTAAATTTCAAAAAAACTACCTCCAGGGTAAAGTGCTTGCTGCATTGTATAGTAATACTTGAGAAAAAAATGACAGTGATGAATTGCAAGAAAATATACCTCAGTGACAAATGTAGAACTCTGAAAACTAGTGAATTACTGAAAGCAAAAAATTCCCTCCCCACATGGATGTAAGCAACAGATTTGAGACCCACCACACCACATTTTCATCTCTATGTTTTTCAACTTTGATTGAAAAAAATTTTTTTTTCACCTAAGAAAACACATGAAAGTAAATTTGCAAACATTTACTTTAAAAGTGGAGATCCTGAGAACAAGCAATTCCATTTTTGGGTATCTACCCCAAGGACAGAAAAATATTCATTCAGAAGTACATATGCACACTGTTATTTACTGCAGCACTCAGTACAAAGGCTAAGATTTAAAATCAACCTAGGTGTTCAATAACAGATCAGTGGTTCATGAAGATTTCATATATATGACGTATATATATTTTAATCACTGTCACTATCATTGTCCTCCTGTTGTTCATCGATTTGCTCGAGCGGGCCCAGTAACATTGTGAGACTTGTTACTGTATTTGGCATGTCAAATACGCCACAGGTAGCTTGCCAGGCTTTGCCGTGCAGAGGAATCGAACTCAGGTTGGCCATGTTGGCTGCATGCAAGGCAAACGCCCTACCTGCTGTGCTATCGCTCCAGCCCATATATTTTAATATATATGTATACATATATATTAAAATATATATGCAATGAAATACTACACAGCTGTAAGGAATGATGAAATCATGCAATGTGCCACAACACAGAACTGGAAGATATCATGTTAAAATGAAATAAGCCAGAAAGACAAACATAGCATGATATCACCTAATATGTGTTATTTAGAGTAACTGGATGAGTAAATGAGTAAATGATCTAAGAGGGGAAGGGGAATGTCTAGGTAACCTTAGGCCCCAGAGTGTAGAGATGAGAAGAAAAGAAATGGAGTGAAGCAGAAGTGGAGAAGAGATAAATAAAAAACAATTGGGGCAGGGGTCAAGGGAACTCAGTACATCAGTGGTAGTAAGGAATGATAGAGCTAAATATCCAAAGCACAGAGTCAATAACACTGAAATCACAAGACCAAAACTTTAATAACCAAACTTAAAAGGTGCCTGTCAAGATGACAGGCTGAGGCTGGGTGGGTAGTGGAGAGGAGAGGGAACCTGGGAACACTGCTGGAGGGAAGTTGTCACTGGTGATGGGTTCAGTGATGAAAAATTATGTATCAAAAACCCAACTATGAATAGCTTTGTAACTCACGAGCTTTAATAAAATAAAATTTAGTAGGAAAAGTTGAGATCCTTTAAAACCAATAAAGCAGCAGCAACACAACAACAAAAGAGAATACAGAGGAAAATCAAAATCTTGAAAGTTTGACTTTTGTGTCTTCACAGAATTCTCCCAAACTCTTTTGCCCTAAAAACAGAAGCTTTGACATAGATGCTATCTACAGTGTAATTGATGATGCCAAACAGTACGTATACATTGCCGTCATGGACTACCTGCCCATCTCCAGCACAAGCACCAAAAGGTCAGTGGAAGCCTTGTTTTCACTTTGATCCCCATAACTAGGGTCAGAGACTAAACTGAGAACACAGAAGACAGCAACCTGACAATAAGATGCTATAAGATTCCTTAAGATGGAAATCTTAAAATTTACTTTGTAAGGCCTCTTCTATTCCAGAGAATCCCGTGTTGTATCTAATCTACCTATCTTCTTTTCTCCCATTTCCTAAATAAACTTGTCTTACTTTTCCTTTTTTTTAGGGAAGTGAATTTTTTTAAATTATTTTAATGAGTTACACCACCTGAGTGCTGGAGAACAGATGACTAGTTAAAGAATGGTTACAAAGGATTTCATTCCGAACAATCGAATATTATGTAGCCTTTAGAAAAGATGAAGTAATGAAATTTGCATATAAGTGTATCAACATAGAGTATCATGTTAAGTGAAATGAGTCAGAAAGAGAGGGACAGACATAGAATGACTGTATTCATTGATGGAATATAAAGTAACATAACGGGAGACTAACACACAAGGATGATAGTGATGCACAGGGTTTACTCCTGGCTCATGCACTCAGGAATTACTACTGGTGGAGCTTGGGATGCTGGGAATCGAACCCGGGTCAACTGCGTGCAAGGCAAATGCCCTACCTGCTATGCTATCGCTCCAGTCCCAGAACTTCTACTTTTTAAAGAAGGAAGAAGTGAATTGAATAATCATGTAGATAAATAAATGTTTCATTAAAAAGTAGAAGCCTAGATGCTGGGGAGAGAATAAGGATTAAAGCACTAGCTTCTCATGTGGCAAGCCACAGTCTGAGTAAATACCCAAGTTCCATATAAGTTCCTCTCAGCACTGCCAAAAGTGATCCTTGAGCACAGAACTAGGAGTAATCTCTGAACACTGCTGAGTATGGTTTAAAAACCAACCAAAAAAATTTAATAAGATAAATAAAATCAAAATCCTGGGTTAAGTAATTCAGTACCTTTCATGAGGAAAGACCAAGTTTAATACCTGCAGCACAATAATCACTTGAGCACTGCCAGGAGCAACCCGAGCAACAAGCTGGACTCTGTGAACTTTCAGGGGCCAAAATTTAAAATTATGCCCCAAATTTAACTAATTAAATCAATAAATAGGAATCAAAAGTCTTATTTCATTTTTTCCTGTGTTAGCAATCAAGTTTAGTTCTTGAAGCAAGTAATTTAATTCTTAGTTTTGTGTCTTTATTTTGTGTTTCTTCAGTGACATGAAATACATCTTTCCAAAAAGTAATCAGTATTGTGAAATGCACCCCAATTAAGTCTATTTTAACATATTATTCATTAAAAATTACCTATTAGACACTGTGCAAGAGTGATTAAAATATGAACATAAGTTCTAGGAAATGTATCCAATATGGGCAAATAGACACATAATAGTTTATCATCTCAAAGTGATGTGAATGGAATAACATATATATAAGTCTGAAAATTCTACATGCTGGATAAAAGGAAAGCTAAGAAGAAACATTAAAGGTAGAGTATGCCTATTGGATGAAAAGCCACTGAAATGCAGTTTTTAATCTGTAGATATTTATCACAAAAAAAAAAAAAACAAGTGCAGAAGGAAATTTTCCTTCTTTAAGTTAAGTAGAATGAGTTTTTTTTTTAATTTCGCTTAAGATGTGAGAGGAGAGAAATATAAATGTTCCAGAGAATGCAGTCATTTCCAGAGGAGAAAAAGTCTGAAACTGAGTTTTTCCAAGTAACAGAGTATAGATTAAGAGCAAAAAGAACTATGAGCCAGGCTATGTAGCAAGTTCAATATGGAAATTAGAATCAAGATAAGATCAAATTGAGATCAATGGGAGATTAAATTGGAAAGAGAACAAAGATGAGATACAGGAGGGCCTGACAAAATATGGGGATTTCCATGACTTTGGGGCACCCTCACTGGTTTAATCAAAAGATTTGTTAAGCTTTTAGATGGCTCATTTTGGCAGACACGACATTAGAAAAAATGAAGTCATGAACTTCACTTATAAATGAAGGGATATGGAGAGTATCATGCTGAGTAAAATAAGTCAGAGGAAGAAGGATACACATAGAATGACTGCACTCACTTGTGGGATATCAAAAAAAAAAGGCATAGCATGAGATGAACACCCAAGGACAGTAGAAACAAGGGCCAGGATGAATGGTCCATGGTTGAAAGCCTGCGGGCAGGTGGGATAGAGAAGGGACCATTATGACAATGATTCTTGGAAGGGATGGCTCTGGATGGAAGATGTGTGCTGAAAATGGGTAATTCCCAAAAGGAGAGAAAGAGAGAGAGAGAATGAGAGAAAGGGAGAGAGAGAGTACCTTCCATAGAGGGGCTAAGGGGGACAGGTAGCAGTAGGGATTTGGGGGATATTGGGTGGGAAATATACACTGGTGAAGGGATGGGTATTGGAACATTGTGTGACTGAAACCTGATCACGAAAGTTTTGTAACTTTATCTTATGGTGATGCAATTAAAATAAGCACATTTTTAAAATGTGTACTAGACAGGAAAAATTGGAGTCAAAGAAACACCTTGGAGTTGTTATAGCTATCCAGTTAGGGTAACTGAGGGCACTGACTAGGGCAATTAAAGAAAGGAGAGAAAAAGTGGAAGGAATTCTAGACATATTTCTGAGGGACCTGTAGAAAGGGAGAACTGTTATGGTTTCCAGGATTTTACTTTGGGTAATTAGATAATGAAGAATACACAAAATAGGAACAGCTACAATAGGTTTAAGAATTGTATCACAATTATACCCCTATTTTCAAAAGCATTGGGAAATAAGATATGTGAACTTAAGGTTCTGATCTATAAAGTTTTTATAAAGACATAAAAAAATGAAGTTAACTAAGAAGCTTCTGCACCTCAAAAGAAACAATGACCAAAATACAAAGACAGTCTACAGAATGGGAAAGGCCGAATACACATCCGACAAGGGGTTGATATCAAGGATATACAGAGTACTGGTTGAACTCCACAAGAAGAAAACATCCAACCCCATACAAAAATGAGGCAATGAAATGAACAGAAACTTTCTCAAAGAAGAAATTCGAATGCCAAAAAAGCACATGAGAAAATGCTCTACATCATTAATCATCAGGGAGATGCAGATCAAAACCACAATGAGATACCATCTCACACCTCAGAGACTGGCCCACATCCAAAAGAACAAAAGCTGCCGATGCTGGCGTGGATGTGGCGAGAAAGGGACATTCCTTCACTGTTGGTGGGAATGCTGACTGGTTCAGCACTTTGGGAAAACCGTATGGATGACTCTCAAAAAATTAGAAATTGAGCTCCCATTTGACCCAGCAATACCACTCCTGGGAATATATCCCAGAGAGGCAAAACAGTATAGTCGAAGTGACATCTGCACTTGTTTGTTCGTTGCAGCACTCTACAATAGCCAGAATCTGGAAAAAACCTGAGTGCCCGAGAACAGATGACTCGTTAAAGAAACTTTGGTAGAGTCATTCCTAAGCACCACTATATGTAGCCATAAAAAAAAAAAAAACTAAAGATTCAAGAGTTAAAGAAGAGGATGAGCCTGCAAAGGAAATTATTTGCTCACCAAGAATTCCAGGTTCAAGCTCTGAGCCTCTCTACCTCTTCCTTTTAGTCCCCCAAGCTGAGCTGGTCTCTTCTCCCCACCCAGGTCAGTTTATCCACTGCTTCTCGAACCCAGGACTTGGATTTCAGCCTGCAAGCCCCGCAGGCGTCCTCTCCGACTTTGGAAGACAAAGGAGCTCTGAGCCTCTCTGCCTCTTCCTTTTCATCCCCCAAGCTGAGCTGTTCTTCTCTCCCACCCAGTCTTTACTCCCACCACACAGACCACACCACGTACCCGTGGGGGTGTGGCCGCTTTAGAAGTGGGCGTGGCTTCTTTAGAAGTGGGCGTGGCCTAATTTTCAGCAGGCCAAAGCTCATGCTGCCACAGGTAGTTTACTCATACCAAGAAATGTAGTCCCTACACCTACACACCAACATGAAGAAACAACGCATATCCCCACCACAGGGAGAGGACAGTCAAACAAGTCCAGAAGCCTCAGTAGGTGCTATTCACCTAAGGGACCTCTCTGACAAAGAATTCAGATATGTAGTCATGAAGATGTTCAATCACTCAATGAAACAATCAGACAGATAGCCAGTAAATTGAAAGAGGACATGAAAGAAACAATGGCTTGCACAATCGAGGAAATACAGGAAGAAATGAGAGCAGAAATTGGAAAGCTACTCACGGAAATGTCACAAATCAAAGATTCCATAGATGAAATGAAAAACTCAGTCTGTGCCCTCAAAAATAGAATGACCACAGCTGAGGAAAGAATCAGTGAGCTGGAATATCAGCTGCACCAAGCCAACAGGCAACAACAAACAGTGGCAAGGGACCTCAAAATAGCTCTACAGAGAATCAGAGTCCTAGGAGACGATTCCAAGAGAAACAACATTAGAATCATTGGACTACCAGAAGCTCAGGGAAACAATCCCAATGAAAAAGCCATGGTTAAACAAAGCATCGCTGAAAAATTCCCAGAGCTCAACAATTCAGCCACTCAGATTCAAGGAGTCCAACAGGTGCCAGCTAAAAGAGACCCTAACAAAAACATTCCAACACATATCATAGTTAGAATGATCGATGCTCCCCATAGAGACACAATACTGCAAGCAGCAAGATTAAAGAAGGAAATCACATACAAAGAAGCACCCCTTAGATTCACAGCTGATCTATCAGAGGTAACCCTCCAAGTCCGAAGGCAGTGGTGAGATATAGTGAAAAAATTCACTGAAATGAATGCTTCACCAAGAATACTCTATCTGGCTAAACTCTCACTCAAAATCGAAGGAACAGTGCACTATTTTCTAGATAAACAACAGCTCAGGAACTTCATAGACTCAAAACTAAACCTAAAGCAAGGGCTAAAGGGGCTGCTATAAGACAAGACAAACCTACAAACACTACAGACCCTTACAAAAATATGACACAAAACCCCATAACAGTAATCTCTCTCAATGTCAACGGTCTAAATTCACCATTTAAGAGACACAGAGTGGCAAAATGGATACAGAGACAGAACCCAACATTCTGCTGCCTACAAGAAACTCATCTCAACAGTCAGAGTAAACACAGACTCAAAGTCAAAGGATAAAAAACAATCCTGCAAGCAAACAGCTCCTTCAAAAAAGCTGGGGTGGCCATATTATTATCTGAAAACATTAATTTCATGTTGAAAAAGATTACAAGTGACAGAGAAGGCTATTTTCTCTTCATCAAGGGCTATGTAAAACAGAAAGAAATCACACTCTTAAATGTATATGCACCTAATGAGGTAACAGCTAAATATTTAAAACAACTGCTAAGAGATTTTAAGGGGGACATTGCTAGCAACACAACAGTACTTGGAAACTTCAACATCGCCTTATCACCTCTGGATAGATCAACAAGAACACAACTCAGCAAGGAACACTGGCTTTGAAAGAAGAAATAGAAGAGAAAGGGCTTATAGACCTATACAGGGCTTTACACCCCAAAAAGAAAGAATACATATTTTTCTCCAGTGTGCACGGAACATTCTCCACAATAGATCATGTGCTAGGCCACAAAACATACCTCAACAGAATCAGGAAGATAGAAATAGTATCAACCATCTTTTCAAACCACAATGCACTGAGGATAGAAGTGAATCACACACAGACATGGAGAACCAAATCAAACACCTGGAAATTAAACAACTCAATGCTGAACAACGAGTGTGTCAGGAAGGAAGTCAAGGACGAAATCAAAAGATATTTGGAAACAAATGAGAATGAAGACACGAGCTACCAGAACCTTTGGGATGCAGCGTAAGCCATATTAAAGGGAAAATTTATAGCTCTGCAAGCATATCTTAGGACTGTAGAAAGGATGCAGAGAAACAACTTGACCTCACAGCTCAAGACCTTAGAAAAGGATCAACAGAAAGAGCCTAAATCAGGAAGAAGGAAAGAGATCATAAAACTTAGAGCAGAAATCTATGACATGGAAATCAAAGATACAATTCGAAAGATCAATGAAACCAAGAGCTGGTTCTTCGAGAAAATAAACAAGATAGATAAACCACTAGACCACTCACCAAAAAACAGAGAGAGAGAACCCTACTAAACCAAATCAGAAATGAGAAAGGGGATAACACAACAGAAATCAAAGAAATCCAAAAGATAATCAGAGACTACTTTGAAAGTCTATATGCCATGAAACAAGAGAACCTAGAAGAAATGAATAAATCCCTGGACTCCTATAGTCTCCCAAAGCTCAATCAAGAAGATCTAGAATATCTGAACAGATCTATTAACATCAAGGAAATTGAAACTGTAATAGAAAGTCTTCCCAAAAACAAAAGCCCAGGTTCAGATGGATTCACTAGCAAATTTTTCCAAACATTTAAAGAGGACCTACTGCCAGTCCTTCTCAAGCTTTTCTAGGAAATTGAAAAAACAGAAATTCTCCCAAACAGTTTCTATGAAGCCCATATCTCTCTAATACCAAAAGGAAACAAAGACACCACAAGAAAAGAAGACTACAGGCCGATATCGATGAACACGGATGCGAAGATTCTCAATAAAATATTAGCAAATAGAATTCAACTACTTCTCAAAAAGATCATACACCATGACCAAGTAGGATTCATCCCAGGGATGCAAGGCTGGTTTAACACTCAGAAATTAATCAACATAATCCATCATATCAACAATAGAAAAGATAAAAATCATATGATCATATCAATAGATGCAGAGAAAGCATTTGACAAGATCCAGCACCCGTTTATGATGAAAACCCTAGACAAAATGGGGATAGAGGGGACTTTCCTCGATATAGTTAAAATCATCAACCACAAGCCTACAGCAAGCATCATCCTCAATGGGGAAAAACTGAGAGCCTTCCCTCTAAGGTCAGGGACGAGACAAGGATGTCCACTCTCTCCACCCCTGTAATATAGTACTGGAAGTATACTTGAAATAGCGATTAGACAACAAAAAGATATTAAGGGCATTCAGGTAGGAAAGGAAGAAATCAAGCTCTCACTATTCGCAGATGATAAGATACTATACTTAGAGAACCCTAAAACCTCTACCAAGAAACTCCTAGAAACAATAGGCTTGTATAGTAAAGTTGCAGGCTATAAAATCGATACCCAAAAGTCCATGGCTTTCCTATAAGAAAATAGTGAAAGAGAAGAAAGTGACATGAAGAAAACAATCCCGTTCACAATTGTGCCCCAGAAAATCAAGTACCTAGGAATCACCTTAACTAGGGAAGTAAAGGACCTGTACAAAGAAAACTACAAAACGCTACTTCAGGAAATAAAAGAGGACACAAGGAAATGGAAAAATATCCACTGTTCATGGATCGGGAGAATTAACATTGTCAAAATGGCAATACTACCCAAAGCACTGTACAAATTCAACGCGATCCCTATTAGGATACCCATGACATTCTTCAAAGAAATGAAGCAAACACTCCTGGAATTTATATGGTACAATAGGCCTCCACGAATAGCTAAAGAAATTCTTGGGAAAAAGAAAATGGGAGGAATCAACCTCCCTAACTTCAAGCTCTACTACAAAGCAGTAATAATTAAAACAGCATGGTACTGGAACAAATGCAGAGATGTATACCAATGGAACAGAGTTGAATATACTGACATCTCCCCCCAAGCTTATGACCATCTAATCTTCGATAAGGGGGCAAGCAAAGTGAAGTGGAGTAAGGAAAGCCTCATTAACAAATTGTGCTGGCAAAACTGGATGGCTACATGCAAAAAAGTGGGCTCAGATCTCTGCCTAACACCATGTACAAAAGTAAGATCAAAGTGGATTAAAGACATCAACATCAGACCGAAATCCATAGTACATTGAGGAAAAAGTTGGCAAATCTCTCCATGACATAGAAGCTAATGGTATCTTCAAAGATGTCACTTGGCCAAACAAGTGAAAACAGAGATAGACAAATGGGACTATCTTAAACTAAGAAGCTTCTGCACCTCCAAAGAAACAGTGACCAAAATACAAAGACAGTCTACAGAATGGGAAAGGATATTCGCCAACTACACATCTGACAAGAAGTTGATATCAAGGATATACAAAGTGCTGGTTGAACTCCACAAGAAGAAAACATCCAACCCCATCAAAAAATGGGGCGATGAAATGAATAGAAGTTTTCTCAAAGAAGAAATCCGAATGGCTAAAAGGCACATGGGAAAATGCTCCGCATCATTAATCATCAGGGAAATGCAGATCAAAACCACAATGAGATATCATTTCACACCACAGAGACTGGCCCACATCCACAAGAAAAAAACCAACCGGTGCTGGCGCAGATGTGGTGAGAAAGGGATCCTCCTTCACTGCTGGTGGGAATGCCGACTGGTTCAGCCCTTTTGGAAAACAGTATGGACGATTCTAAAAAAATTAGAAATTGATCTCTCATTTGACCCAGCAATACCACTCCTGGGAATATATCCCAGAGAGGCAAAAATGTATAGTCGAAGTGACATCTGCAATTGTCTGTTTATTGCAGCACTCTTTACAATAGCCAGAATCTGGAAAAAACCTGAGTGTCTGAGAACAGATGACTGGTTAAAGAAACTTTGGTACATTTATACAATGGAGTACTATGTAGCTGTTAGAAAAGACAAAGTCATGAAATTTACATACAAGTGATACTACATGGAAAGTATCATGTTAAGTGAAATGACTCAGAAAGAAAGGGATAGACATCGAAATATTGCATTCATCTGGGGGACATAAAGTAACAAAATAGGAGACTAACACCCAAGAATGGCCAAGATTAGTATCAGGAATTTTACTCCATGGCTTAGAGGCCAGCTACACATGCTAGGGGACAAGGGAGCTCAGATAGAGAAGGGAGTACCAAATAAATGGTGTTGGGAGGATCCTCCCAGGATGGGAGAAGCATACTGAAAGTAGACTATAGACCAAACATGATTGTTACCCACTGTCTCTTTTGCAAACCACAACAACCAATAAGAGAGAGAGAACAAAAGGGAATGCCCTGCCACAGAGGCAGGGTGGGATGGGAGTGATGGGCGGTGGGAGGGACACTGGGATCCGTGGTTGTGGGAAATGGGCACTGGTGGAGGGATGGGTATTTGATCATTGTATAATTGAAACCCACGCACAAAATTTGTAAGTCTACAACTGTACCTCATGGTGTCTCACTAATAAAAATTAAATAAATAAATAAACAAATATGGCAAGAAAGGGAAAAAAAGAATTCCAGGTTCAATAGTGGTTAATGGCAGAGAGATTTGTTATTTCTTAAGGAAAGAGTCTATAAAATCATTAGAAAAATAAGAATGTAGGAAAGCACAGTAAAACAGAGCAGAAGCTCTTGAGAGGGAGGAGCAGTATATATAATGAGCAGTAAGGGAACAGAGACACTGTTTAAGGCTCTTAACTATAATCAACCAACTTCATTTTAAACTGTCCTTTTGTAAACTTTTGTCTCAGGGACTTTACCCCGACAGCTTGCATGTTTTCAAAAATATTCTGTAAGATTGTTTGTGTATTATAGAAAAATGTAATGATCGTATTAATGCATAATTAATCTTTCCCAAGATTAATTGTTTTATCTATATTGATATATGTCTACAGGAAATACTGGCCAGATTTGGATGGGAAAATAAGAGAAGCACTTCTCTTGCGAAGTGTTAAAGTTCGACTACTTATAAGCTTCTGGAAAAAAACTGATCCCCTTACATTTAATTTTATTTCATCTCTTAAAGCTATTTGCACTGAAATCGCAAATTGCAGTTTGAAAGTTGTAAGTATTGTATAGACTTTGTTATTAAATGTGTTTATATTTTTACATATACACAGAAGCTTACAAATACTTCCAATAACAGCCACAATAATAACCTGAAAATGAGGATTATTTCAACAGGTCAGTGAAGTGATTTTTCAAAGTATTTACATGTGAAAAGAGGAGACAAGAGCCAGATAGTCCAGCAGGTCGGCACTTGCCTTGTGTGCGGCTGATCCAGGTTCAATCCCATATGGTTCCCCAAGCCCTACCAAGAGTTATCCAGTTGTGGCCCAAGAACAACAAAAAAGACAAGATTTCAAGTTTTCTGGTGGTCTCCAAAGTCAGCTGTCTTTATATAATTTTTTAATGTCTTTATATACTTTTTTTGATATATCCTCTTAGCTTTCTTTGCATTATCTTCGTATATAAATGTCAGAATATGACAAGCAGAGCATTGGAACCTGTTTTTACATAAACTCTATGGAACATGTTTTTACATAAACTCTACAAGTCCTAAAGCCAACTAGCCTGGGCTTTAGGGAACTGATAAATGAGTAAGAGAAATTTCAATTGTAATTACCTACTTTCAAATGTGAAATAATATTTCAATTTTCACATAATGAATAAGACTTTTGTGTCCAACAAATGGTTTATACTTGATAATTATATGTAAGCATTTAAAAATGCATTATTTATGAAAAGCCCATTAATTCAATAATTGTGTCACATTTTCCTTAAGTTTTTGTCTAGAAAAACTGAGCTTCACTATAAGTGCTGTATTGAGATCTCCTACTGTCAATGTATCCCTGAAGTCAATTAATAATTGTTTTTTAAAATTAACTAGAACCATTAAAAAAAAACCTTACCCTGAAAAATTCTAGAATAATAATATCCACACTATAACATCCACAGTATTAACAAAACTGTTATACACATGAAGAAGCCTGAAACTTATTATACAATTTTGTGTAACAGTTTATTTTTTTTATTTCCTAAAAACTATCTCACAGTACAAATATAATGTTAATGTAATCACATTTGACTTTTTCAGTGTTATGTAAGAAGATATAAGGAAAAAGTATTGAAAATTCAGTCATCACAATCATATTAATTATTTTTTATATTTGGATGCATAGATGTTTTGTTCCTATCTATTGGTGACCACTATTTCTTTTCAATGGATTGACTATTTATCGTCGTATAGTACCCATTTATGCATCTTTTTAATTTTTTTACTAGAAAATCTTAATTTATCATGTTTGTGAAAAGCATTTTCTGCTGTTTTCCGTGTTGTGGGCAATGAATAGATTGTTTCAGCCTTAAGTCTTGGCCTGTCTATATATCTATACAATGTGAGACTCTTAGTTGCATATATAGATGATTATTGCTTTTTTATTCATTTAGTTATTCATCTTCTTTGGTTGGAATTGTAGACCATTTTCTGATACAGCAATTATTGATATGTGGGACTTATTTACTGCTATTCTATATTTTGTTTTCTTGCTTTATTTTTCTGGATTTCCCTTGTTTATTTCCCCATTTATTCTTATATCACTTCACAGTTGATAATTTTCTGTAAAGATTTACTCCATTTTTCTGTTAAACTTCTCTGCTCCATATCTTCATTTGTGCTTACCATGAATGTTGTATGAAAATTACTATATCTAAAATAAACTTTGTATCTTGATATTCAATAATATTTGACTATATAATTTCTAGCCCTTTCGTTCTCCTTTTTATGTTTTTCTGTTACCTCTTATCATTTTCCTTTTATTTTTATTACTTTATTATTTATCACTTTTCTAATTGTTTGTATTTTACTTTTTTTCATAGAGAACCTCTTTCTAGATCCGGTTCTATTAACCTTTATTTGTCTCAAAAACATGTATTCCTGTCATAGTTGAATGATTATTTTTCAGGGTGGAGTACTCTTGGTTGGCAGTTATTATCTTTTAATAATGTGATTATGTCACTCCACTTGTTGTGTGTATCTCCTGAGGAGTCGATAAAAGCATGATTTAAGTGCATTTGTTTGTGCCAGTTTTTTCTTGCCCTAGCAGACATCTATAATTTTGTCCTTATTGTTGAGTTTTTACCCTCCCTTTCCCATAGATGGTTTGTAGACATTTTTGTTGTAATGACCAGAGGTCTCATATTTGGTTGTGTTGCTCACACATTTGTTGCAGTGTTCACCAGGATTGCCAAGATTTTTAGACTTAGTTGTGACACTTCAACAATTAAGTTGCAGTGTTTACTGTTTATTACTCACGTTAGTTGAAGTAATTGCACACATTTGACCATAGTATACCAGAGAGCAGACACTTTGTAAATGACTGGGGGTTGACATCACACAAGGGTAGTTCCCATGGAGTTACACTTGGCACATGGGGCTGAGTCAGCAATCAAACTCACAGTCTCATGCCTGAAAGACAGATGCAATGCCACTGAAGCCCAACTCCAGAACTTTCTTTATCAATGGTTTAATAATAATAATAATTATTATTATTATTTAATAACCAACTAATCAATATTTAACAATAATTGGAACATTAGTCTCCATGGTACCTACTACTACTACTTTTTGAGAAGTGGGCACCCAAGCCATGATTTTGGATACATCACGGAAAGACTGCATTCGTAAAAGTTATCACAGATATCTGGGTAATTTTTTATATAATACCTTTGAAAAAATGTTTCTGTCACCCACACCATAAATTCTAATAGCAAGTCAGTCCACGTGATAGCTTTTCTGTCCTGGATAAATGTGGTTCTTCTCTTCTAGGACATTTTCAGCTTTCAAAAGTAGTAACTTCTTTTCTTTTTTAATTTTATTGAATCACCATGTTAGAAGCTTTCATGTTTGGGTTACAATCAAACAATGATCAAACACCCATCCCTCCACCAGTGCACATTCCCAACCACCAATATCCCCAGTATACCCCCCCTCCCCTTCCTCCCCCTGCCTCCATGGCAGACAATATTCCCCATACTCTTTCTCTACTTTGGGGCATTATGGCTTGCAATGCAGATACTGAGAGGTTATCATGTTTTGTCCATTATCAAAGCAGTAACTTCTTAGCAAAATCTCAAGCTATGATATATGATGTCTGATTTAAATTAGGATATATATTTTATTATATTTTGAATCCATCTTGATCCTGTTTTCCTTAAAAGGAAATAATTAAAATGTATTGATTTGTTTTGTAGTAGAACACTCAAAGAAGGCTCAGTATTATTCATTCGTGGACAAGTATAATATTCATATGATCATCATTAAACATATAACTATGACAAGAATATTCAGGTAGTATATGCAAGCTCTCTAAATCAGAAATCTTTTTCAGATGATAAGAACTGAGAAAATGACATTATCCAGACTACATTGTCTAATCCTAGGAGAATATTCCTATGTCATGCAATAGACAGCTTTGTTTTTAGGATTTATTTAATTTATTTTTTAACTGAATCACAGTTAGATATTCAGTTTCAAAGTTGTTCATGATTAGGTTTCAGTCATATAATCTTCCAACATCTGTTCCTTTACCAGTGTACATTTCCCGACACCAATATTCCCAGTTTCCCTCCCGAACCCCCACCCCAGTCCACCTTTAAGGCAGGCACTTTTCTTCTCTCTCTGTCTCTCTCTGTGTATCTCTTTCTGTCTTTCTCACTCTCTCTCTCTCTCTCTCTCTCTCTCTCTCTCTCTCTCTCTCTCTCTCTCTCTCTCTCTCTCCCCTCTTTCCTTTTGGGCATTATGGTTTGCAATACAGATAGTGAAAGTAGGTAAAGACATCCCTTTAACTACTTCCAACACTCAGCTCCTGTACAAAGTGATCATTTCCAACTTTTATTGTCATACTGATCCCTTCTCTATCCTAACTGCCCTTTACCCCACTCACACTTGTGGCAAGCTTTCAACCATTGGCCAGTCCTTTAAACCTTTGTTTTCTCTGGCCTTTAATATTACTCTCATACTATTTTTTAATACTCCACAAATGAATAGACATTTTATATCTGTCCCTCTCCCTCTGACTCATTTTACTCAACATGATACTCTCCATGTCCATCAATTTATAAGTAGATTTCATGACTTCATTTTTCTTAATGGCTGCATAGTATTAGATTGTGTAGATGTACCATAGTTTCTTTATTCGGTACTCTGGGAGTACTTGGGCTGTTTCCAGATTCTGGCTATTGTGAATAATACTGCAATCTACATAGACATTCAGATAGGTTTTCTATTGTGTGTTTTGGGGACACAGGGCCTATTCCCTATATTGATATTGATGGGTCATAAGGAAATTCAATTTCTAGCTTTTCAAAAGGAATCCTCAAAGAATGCCCACGCTGTTTTCCAAAAAGGCTAAACCAGTCAGCATTCCCATGAACAACGAAGGAGAGTTCCTTTTGTGCCACAGCCCCCACAGAACTGGTTGTTATTATTTTTTATGTGTGCCAGTCTCTTGTGGTGTAAGAAAATGTTTTGGTTTGCCTCTCCCTGATGATTAGTGCAGTTTTCCATGTGAATTTATTCTCTGAGGAACTTTCTGATCATTTCTTCGTCCCATTTTTCAGTGGGTTGGATGCTTTTCTTGTAAAATTCCATCAGTGTCTTATATACCTTTGATATTAGTACCTTATTAGATAGGTATTGGATAAGTAATTTCTCTCATTCTGAGAGCTGTCTTTGTGTCTTGGTCTTTGTTTTGTTTGATGTGCACAAGCTTCTCATTATAATGTAGTCCCATTTGTTTATCTTTGCTTTAACTTGTTTGATCAATGCTGCTTCATATTTGAAGATGGCTTTAGCTTCAAACGTCATTTTCTCCCATGTACCTTATGTATTTGGGTCTGATGTTGAGGTGTTTAAGTCATTTTGATCTGACTTTTATGTGTGGCAATAGAAAGAGGTCTGAATTCATCTTTTTACATGTAGCTGCCCAGTTTTCCTAGCACTATGTGTTGAAGAGGCTTTCCTTGCCCCACTCATATTTCTTGCTCCTTCATTAGAGATTTAGTGATCATATTTGAGGGTTTGTGTCAGAATATTCAATTGTATTCCATTGGTCTGCTGGTGAGTCTGTCTTTATTCCAATACCATGCTGTTTAAATTACTACTGTTTTGTAGTACAGTTTGAAGTTGGGGAAGGTGATGTCTCTCATCTCTTATTCCCCAAGGATTTATTTGCCTATCTGTGGGAGTTTATTGTTCCATGATAGGAGTGTTTTATTTATCTATTTCTTTGAAAAGTGTCCTGGATGTCCTTTTAGGGACTGCATAGAATCTGTATAATGCTTTGGGGAAAATTGCCATTTTGACATTGTTGTCTCCCAATCTGTAAGCAGGGTATGCATCTCCATTTTCTCCTGTCCTCTTTAATTTCTTGGTGTAGTGTTTTGTAGTTTTCTGTGTACTGATCCTTTACCTCCTTAGTTAAACTGGTATTAAGGTATATGAGGAAAAATTGTAAATGGGATTGTTTTTAATATCACTTTACTCTCTTTCATTATTTGTATATAGGAAAGCCACGGACTTTTGGGTATTGATTTTGTAACCCGCCACTCTGCTAGCAATAGTTTTTAAAAGTTTTTAAGCATAATAGTTTTCAACACTGCGAATGACAGGATTTCATCCACAACACATTCCATCACCAACCCTCTACCAGAATGCCCACTTCTCTACACTATTATCCCAGTTTTTCTCCTGCTTAATCATATCATCCACTCAACCCCCCTCTACACAATTCTTTCCTTTTGGCAAACTTCCAACTGAAGACCAGTTCTCAGTTTCTGATGCTTTTATCTATCTTATATATCCTTTCTTTGTTTATGTTACACCTATGAGAGAGATCATTGTCTGTCCCACTTCTTCTAACTTCACTTAACAAGATACTCCCCTGATCCATCCACATAGCAGCAAATTATATGGTTTCACCCTTTATTACAGTTGAATAGTATTTCATTGCATATATGAGCCAGAGGTTTTTCATCCAGTCATCTGTTCTTAGACATTTAGATAGATTTTTTCCCAGAATTTGGCCATTTTGGATAGTGCTGCTATGAATATAGAAGTGCAAATGTCTTTTCTATTGAATAGAGAGTCCTTATGTAGAAGAAATTAGTTTATGCACCATTAATCTCAGTAATTCTATATTAAAAAGCCAATAAAATTTCCAGGACTGGAAGAAACGTTAGTGGCTCACTAGTTACCAATTTCTCAATTACAAGTTTCTCATCCTGTACAGAAAGGTAATACTAATTTACATTATTTCTCCCAAAGTCAAGTTTTACATGAAACTTCCAACATGTAACTGGCATGTCAGTTTTTAATCTCATCTTGTTTTCATTTTTCTTCTTTCTTTCAAGCATGTGTGATTCCACAGCTGCAAGACATTCCAGAAAAAAATGTATACAGTTATTAAACTGTTTAACATTTCTCGATGAGTAGGGTGCTTGGAATCTTATTTTTTATAATATCTCTTATGAGCTAAGTCATCAGATGCTGTGAGCTCAGTCACTATTTAAACTCCCTCTGAGCCCTTTCTGGTTTCAGTATTTTCTGAGGCAAAAGTTTGGTTTCTCCTGATACAGTCCCATCTTCCCTATCCTGACCTTAGCTCAACTGTAATGCTTATTTTCTGATGATATTAAATGTTTTAATTTGAGATTCTTTAAGTTCTGTATTCATTGCCTTAGTTCTTGTTACTGCTGCTACTTAGGTGTTTAAATGCAGTGTTTGTTCACCTAGAAAAATCTCTTTTGACCTTTGAAAATCTCCAATTTAATTAGCTAGTCATTGACATATGCCTGCTGTTTCTTATAACACACACAACACGTTACAATATTCATTCACTTCATTGGCATGTTTGACATGAAATCCCCTGAGACTGATTTCAAATGCCAAATCATCCTGAAAAGTAAGACAATGAGAATTAAACCATCTTCTGGCCCTCACCCTGTTGAAAAAATTAATTTTGGTTTTGTTTTATAGTTTTAATTGTATTCATTATAAACCTGGTTAAGCATGCTAATTTTCTCTCTTGTTGCCTATATAAAATTAAGAACAAAAAATAGCCTTGTCCACATGAAGCCACAAAATTATGGTTCCAATAGCACAATATGAGGCTATTGTTGATATTTGGATAATAAACCCCTTAGTATTCTTGAACAAAACCAAAACCACTCTCTATTCACCTGCTTTGCATACTGTTTTTATATCTTACAGAAATTTTTTGATCTAGAAAGAGAAAATGCCTGTGCCACAAAAGTACAAAAGGATCACACCTTTCCTAAATTAAATCGCAACAAGTACATGGTGACAGATGGTGCCGCTTATATTGGTATGTATCAAGGCTCCCCACGGGCTCAGGTTGGTTGATGGTGGTCCAGCTGTGCTCTTCTGATCAGGAAGTAGCTGACTACTAGTGAATGAGCGGTCCTTGAGGTAAAAAATGGAAAGCTGAGGCAGAGGACTCTCCAACCAAACATTTCTATGGCTTGATTCAGAAACTGGGACATCATATATGATGTCTTTTTATATATGTCTTACAGAAATTCTTTGGCCCACCTGTCTCATTTTCTAGGTGAGGAGGTAAAACCTGATAGAGTGCTCTTTCTCCACCCAAGTACCAGAACTAGTATGTTCTGAGAAATTGGTAAGCTCAGATTCAGATAAACATCACTTTGGGAATAACCCACCCTGCTACTTTTATAATGTCCAGCTTTTAAAAACTACTTAGGATTCTAAATCTCTGCTTTCTCTATAAAATGGAGCCAATAGTTTACACTTGTCAGGTGAAGTTTAAATGAGATCACATATGTAAAGTTATTTGCAATTATAAAAGCTTCAAAATGTAGATAAAACCCTGTTCTTGTTAGCTGTTAAAATTAAGACCATGATGTAGTTAACATTAAGATAATGATAGAGAAATCCTTTATGCTGGTGGAATTACTTTATAATATATCAAGTATGTACTGCTTTTCTACAATGTATGCAAATCCAGAGTATTTGAATATTAAAAAATATCATTCTGTCTGGCATAGAAAAGAATACTAGTTTATTCATGCTGTCTTTCTATGACTCAAGCTATTAGCACTTGAAATTTATTATGTACATCAAATTATAGAAAGCATATAATCATATGTAACAAAAACACATTTAAATACTTAATAAAATATTTACTTTTTACTTAATTATGGGCTGGAGCGATAGCACAGTGGTAGGGCATTTGCCTTACAAGCGGCCAACATGGCCGACCCGAGTTCGATTCCTCCGCCTCTCTCGGAGAGCCCGGCAAGCTACCAAGAGCATCTCACCCGCACGGCAGAGCCTGGCAAGCTACCCGTGATGTACTGGATATGCCGAACACAGTAACAACAAGTTTCATGATGGAGACGTTACTGGGCCCGCTCGAGCAAATTGATGAACAACAGGAGGGCTGTGACCCTGACTTAATTGTAAGAAATAGATCAGGTTTCAGAAACAATGAAATTTATAGCTTGCCAGGCTCTCTGAGAGAGGCGGAGGAATCAAACTCGGGTCAGCAAGGTCGGCCACATGCAAGGCAAACGCCCTACCCACTGTCTATAGCTCCAGCCCATTATATCCATATAATATATTACTTGTTATATTAATGTTATATATCATATATAATGTAATATATCCCACAAATGAGTGCATTAATTATATGTCTGTCCTCCTCTTTATGACTCATTTCACTCAACATTTCACTCATATAGACGCACAATGTCTATCCACTTATAAAAAAAGCTCATGACTTCATTCTTCCTGATAACTGCAGAGTTCTATAGATGTACCACAGTTTCTTTAACCTGTCATCTGTTCTCTGCACTCTGGTTGTTTCCAAATTCTGGCTATTGTGAACAGTGCTGCTATGAACATAAATGCAACTAGCATTTGTGTTATGTATTTTGGAACAGCTGGGATATATTCCCAGAAGTGGTATTGCTGGGTCATTCATTTCATTTCATTTCATTTCATTTCATCATCCTGTTAATCGTCGATTGCCTCGAGCAGGCCCCAGTAACGTCTCTTTCATCCTAGCCCTGAGATTATATTCACGGCTCTTTAGGAGAATGAGACCCATCATTGTTACTGGTATTTGGCATATTTGGTAGGCCACGGGGAGTTTGCCAGACTCTGCCCTGTGGGCAGGCTACATTCGGATAGCCTGCAAGTTTGTCCAAAGTAGGAATGAGGTAATAAGATGTCGCGCGGCCGTGAATGCGGCCGCGCGGTTCCGGGATCTGGATTTTATAGTCTCTGAGTCTTGGCCGCTGATGGGATTACACGGCGCCAGGGGGCCAGGTGCTGGGTCATATGAAAGCTCAATTCTAGTTTTTTGAGAAATGCCTGTATAGTTTTCCAAAAAGGCTGGACCAGTCATCTTTCCCACCAATAATGAAGGAGAGTTCCTTTCTTTTCATATCCACTCCAGTACCTGTTGTTCTTGGTTTTTTAATGTCTGCCAGTCTGTGTGGTGTCAGATGATACCTCATTGTTGTTTTGATTTGCATCTCCTTGATGATTAGTGATGTAGAGCTTTTTTTTTGTGCCCTTTGACCATTTCTTCTTTGAGGAAGTTCCTGTTTATTCTAGTATGAGACTAATGTCCAAGAACAGTAGGAACAAGGGCCAGGAGGATTAGTCCACAGTTGGAAGCCTGTCTCAAGTGCTGAGAGAGAGGGCAATTGGGATAGAGAAGGGACCACTATGACTGTGATGGTTAGATGAGATTGCTCGGGATGGGAGATGTGTGCTGAAAATGGGTAAAGGACAAAACATGATGGTCTCTCAGTATCTATATTGCAAATCATAATGTTCAAAAGGAGAGCAAGAGAGAGACAGAGAGAGAGAGATTTAGAGAGAGAGTGAGAAAGAAAAGTGCCTGCCAAAGAGGCAGACTGAAGGGGGTAGCAGGAGTGAGAGGGATACTGGGGACATTAGTGGTGAGATATGTACAGTGGTGAAGAAATGGGTGTTGGAACACTATGACTGGAACTCAATCATAAACAGCTGTGCCACTGTATATCTTGTGATTCAGTTTTAAAAATATATTATGTAATATATTAAGCATAATGGGTTGGAGTGATAGCACAGTAGGTAGGGAATTTGCCTTGCACGCAGCCAATATGGCCGACCCGAGTTCATTCCTCACCCCCTCTTGGAGAGACCGGCAAGCTATCCGAGAGTATCTCACCTTCACAGCAAATCCTGGCAAGCTACCCGTGGCATATTTGATATGTCAAACACAGTAACAAGTCTCACAATGTTACTGGGCCCGCTCGAGCAAATCGATTTACAACAGAAGGACAGTGACAGTGATTAAGCATAATACAATATATGAGACTGAGATCGGGCACATTCAGGGCTGGAGTGATAGCACAGCCGGTGGATCATTTGCCTTGCATACGGCCAACCTAGGTTCGATTCCTCTGTCCCTCTTGGAGAACCCGGCAAGCTACTGAGAGTATCCCACCTGCACAGCAGAAACTGGCAAGCTCCCCATGGCGTATTCAATATGCCAAAAACCGTGAGAATAAGTCTCACAATGGAGATGTTACTGGTGCCCACTCAAGCAAATCGATGAACAACAGGACAGTGCTACAGTGCTAATATAATATATAATATATACTATTATATGATATTTTGTCTATAATAAAATTTGTCTAAAATTGTGCGGGAAATTCATCCAAAGTTGATGAATTTTAAGTCTGACATGAAGCCATAACATATTTTTGGGTTGGTGCCCATGCCCGTCTTTCTCAGAAATTACTCCTGGCTCTGGCATCAGGGTAACTCCTCTTCGTGCTTGGGGGACCACATGGGATGCTAGGGAGTAAACCTGAGACATCTGTGTATAAAAAAAAGCATCCTTCTTGCTGTACTATTGTTTCAGTCCTGAAGCCATAATATTTTTATGTTATCTGTTAATGGGGCCTAAAATACTGGATAAAGATGAAGGTAGATAAATTACTTCTATGTGTTGTTAATATTTGATTCAGAGATATGATGAATATATATATTATATATATAAGGAGTAACATGAGAGATAATAAAATTTCCTTTCTGGGTCATATGGCAAATGGAATTTATATCTATAATTCAGTTAATAGGCTCCAAAGAACAGAAAGGGGACCAAAAGATGAGAACTGTATACTAACAAATATTGGCCCTTACTAAAGGAGTAACTTCTAGCAGCTTAGCTTTAAGGATCCCCAGTAACCAGAGTCTTGTTGAATCTTTGCACAGATCTCCAGATCTTCAAGGGAATGGAAATCAAGCTTTATAAAGTCTGCTGTTCCCTTTTGTAACCAGCTTGGGACTTAGATCAGAGCCAGGGTAGGGAAACTCATGAAACTATTTTGTGGTATTAACTCAGCTATATCCTATTTAAGTGAAAATAATTTTTGTGGGTTGGGTGCCACACCTGGCAGTGCTCAGGGGTTACTCCTGACTCTGCACTCAGGAATAACTCCTAGCAAGACTTGGGATTATATGATCAGATGGGGTGCCAAGGATCAAACCCAGGTCAGCTGCGTACAAAGGCAAGTGCCTCATTTGCTGTGTCCCTCCAGCTCTGATAATAATTCTTTGTGTATTATACTGAACATTTTCCATGGAGTCTCATAAACCTAGGCCTAACATTAATTAACCATATGACATTGGGGAAAAAATGCATTCATTCCTTAAGCCAAATGTGTATAACTTCAACCTACCATATGAGACAATGCATACATACAAGTATAATACATGAACCAAATAAAATAATCTAATATTTTCTCTATCTTCTAAGGTCTTGTGTCCTTACCTCATCCTACTTCTGGACAGTTCAAAGCAAGAAGTGGTATATATTCATAAAGGAAAGGGCTCTTCTTCTCTTAGTTCAACTTCTTAGATGCAAAAGCTTTCTGAACATTATAATTAGAATCCCTTATTTGTATTATGTGAATTAGATGTTGTATATTTAAGAAGATAGTAAATATTCACAGGATTTTTAAGTGTAATCCCATATATTTTAAATATTGCTGTATTTAATCATATTGTGAAACGTCAATAAGAAATAACATTTACAAAAAGAACAGCAGATTCCTTGTTTTGCATTTCAATTTGAACAAAGCTGAAGAAAATGCCAAAATAATATGCAAATATTAATATGCCATATGTAAGAATTCTTAAATTTTCTCCCTTAGCTGTCAACACATTTTAGAATTCCTGTCAATTTTCCAGTGTGTGTTATTTTTAATAAAACTATTCTGTATTTTATTATATATGGAATATTTCCCAGTAAATCTTAACTCTTCATAATTATTATCTTTGTTTGCAGGAAATTTTGACTGGGTAGGAAATGATTTCACCCAGAATGCTGGCACTGGCCTTGTTATCAACCAAGTAGATGTGAGAAATGACGCAAGCATCATTAAGCAACTTAAAGACGTGTTTGAGAGAGACTGGTACTCACCCTATGCCAGAACATTACAGCCAACCAAACAGCCAAACTGCTCAAGCTTGTTTAAATTCAAACCTCCCTCAGACAAAACTGAAACATACAATGCAAGTGGAAAAGAGCTTGCCAGAGTATATCATGGGTGAATGAGCTGAGAGGGCAGCCTCTAATTTATATTTATATTATAAAGAAGTTGGGAGCGAAAAACATTTAATATGTCTGTTTTAGGGAATAAAAGCACACTTAAAAATATTCTCTGAATGACATGTAATATCTAACAATATCTTAGCAGTGTGTACACTAAATTTAAGACTTTTATATTTGCTAGTAACAGAGAATGTCATTTAAACTAGGAAGTTGATTTTTATGTTTGCATACAAATTTTAAGATTTCCTGCCTCATCCTTTCTAGTTTTAGAAATTTATTTTCTTTTTCTTAAAGATTTTATTATTGAATCACTGTGAGATAGATCTTTACAAAACTGTTCATAATTAGGTTTCAGCGATACGGTGTTCCAACACCCATCCCTCCACCATTGTACATTCCCCAACACCAGTGTCCCCAAGAGATTTGTTTTCTGACCCACCTGGTCAGCTCTTAGAAAGCTTAGCATGAGGTAAGCTCTTTACCAACAATCTAAAAACTGCTGACTTTGAGGATTTTTCCCTAAAGAAGAGATTAATCAAATCAAGTATTTATCCCTGTAAACCATTTACAAGACTTATTTGATTAAGCATGCACACATATCTTTCTCAAACACTCTTGAAAAAACATAAGAGTTTTTTGTTTGTTCACGTTCTTCTAGTTCCATAGCTTTTGTTTATAACATTTACCTTTTCTTCTCAAAAGTCTCATTGTACAGCATCTTAATCCTCACTTCAACATCATTTTAAAGTATGATAATACTTTTCAATAATGCTGTAATTTCTCAGAATGAGAAATAATAGTCTTTAATTTTTTTACCTTTTAATTCCATTTTCGCTACTAAACTGATATCTTAAAATTACAGTCAGCAATATGCATTATTTCTCTCAAGCGCAGAAATATGATGCAACCTTGTAATATCCAACAAGTTACTAATTCTGCATTGCAGTAGTTAGGATAATGTACTTTTCAGGGTTTTGTTTAGTTTATGATATTATGAAGGAAAGATCTCAAATTGTTTGGATATAAATTTCCTTAGAGTCATTATGTTGTTAAGAGTATGCCAGCAAAATTTATAGAGCTATTTAACTTCTGCTATTTAATATACCAAAAGCTTTTCAAAGAAATGCAATTTAAATACTGTGCTTATAACGTATTTTATTAAGAATGAAAATAATCTAATAATTATTATATATTGTGTGTTGTTTTATATCTATACAATATATAATCCTATAGTATTGGAGACTGTTGCTAACATGGTAGGAAGTTGTGTCATCTTTAGAGCCCAGAGCAGACAGCCATTAGGATGCCCAGTATGAAGGTTGCTCTTGAACCTCTGGCCCCAGTGTATCTTACATTCCTTGGTTTTGCTTTCTATTGGTAATGTAGGGACAGTAATACTCACCTACCTCACAAAGATGTTATCACGGTAGGAAATATTTGTAACTTGTTTTGAAATCAAAAGATGGTTTCTAAATGCTAAACATTTTGATGTAAAATCTTTCTCTTGAACAAATCTTTAGTGGTATTCCTTATACAATCAATACCAGATCTTCCCTAAAACTTAGAAGGAGGAAATCACAACTTCCAGTTGCAAATTAGGTGATAAGAACACAACAACATAAAATCACTGTTATAAATCTGGACTGTACTTTGGTTGGAAAGATTTCCTGGATCACTATGGCATAAGTAACAGTAACATTATACACTGTGCAAGAAAATGTTATTTAAAAGCAGCATATACATGTGTTTTCAGAGCAAGAAAAGGTAACTCATTTTATTGACAGGGACTTGATTTCTAATATACCATAATAAATGATGAAAAAACCTCTAATTTGTATATAATTAATACATTTGGTGTAAAGTGGCAATTTTATGGTCATCTAGCAATCACATAGGTTCCTTTTTTTTGCTATTGTTTTTTAAAGACTGCTTTGCTGAATATGAAACCAGATAGTAAAATTAGCTATACTCTTATTATAGTATATTTATAATTGATTAGGAGAGTCTTAAAGTACTGGGAATGGAACCAGGGCTTCAAATATAGAAGGAAAATTTTCTATCACTTAAGTTACATCTGAGGCCACGATTTTGTTTTAACAGGAATGCATTTGGGAGTGGCTACAGGAAGGTAACAGAGATTGGGTTTTTGTTTGTTTTGCCTTTGATTTTACACCTGACAGTGTTCAGGGACTATTTCTGGCTCTGTTTTCAGGGAGACTCCTGGCAGTGCTCAAGGGAATGTGTTTGGTGCCTGAAATTGAACTGGGGTGAGCCACAAGCAAGGCAAGCATTTTATACCCCATATTATCTCTACAGCCCTATAAGATAATCTTAATGAAATTCTTCATTAATAATATCTAGTCATAGGAGCCAGGGTGATAGTACAATTGGTAGGGTGTTTGCCTTGCATGCATCCAACCTGGGTTCAATCCTGGCACACTAAATGGTCCTCCAAGCTACATCAGGAGTAAAATATAAACAAATATATCCAGCCATAAAGTCTTACTTCACACATATGAAATTCTTATTGGAATAGAGAGTTATTCTGCTGAACATAGTAAAGTTGATTTTGCTCATGATATTTTTGTGGAGGAGGCATGCCCAGTAGTGCTCAGGAGACAGTCCTGGTAGTTCATGCGGAACCATAAAGTAGCACCGATCAACCCAGGACTCCTTCAGGCAAGGCATGTACTCTAGCCTTTGGATACATTTCCAGACCTGGTGATTATTATTTTTTTTAAGAAATAAAAGCAGAAATTGGCATGCAGATAACCATGCCAAGATTACTCTTAGGCAAAGAAGAACAACCTGTCATACCTACCATGTGTATTATAAGAGAAGGAAGACAATTCATTTTTTGTCAGCTACAAAGTCATGTCTTTGAAGTTTTTATTATAGCTACTGGGGCAAGTAGTATTGGAATAATAGGGCCGCCTTCACTATCAATGTCTTTTGCATGTACTAGGAGAAGATAATTCCATGCCACTTTATTCTAAAGCCCATTAAAATGGTTGTGCCAGTGACTGTGTGCCACAGGACTTTCTGCCATGCACAGATAGCAAAGTCCCAGTGGGCTTTTCCACAGGGTGCACCAGATCAGACTCTAGGAGTCAATGTTGATTTTCTGTGGCTGCCAAGAAAACAGATTATTTACAGAGTACCATAAGAAGGTCTGTGTCTCCAAGAGAAGCTTTAATTTTGTAGGACTTTCTTTTTCATTTGAATTACTTGGTATACCCCTCTCTTTTAAACAATGGGTTTGTGCAAAATAGCTACTAACTTCCTTTTTATCCATGATATCCCAAGAATCATTTCTCAAGGGAAAAACAGAAGAGAGAACAGAAATACTTTGAGCAAATCTGATGGAAGTTCATGCCAGAAATAGAAGAGTAGGATATCTATTAACCTATATTTTTCTCCCTGTAAACATTCCAGGAGGGCCAGGAGCAATATTACAGTGGTAGGGAATCGCCTTGCATGTGACTGACCCAGATTCAGCCTGGACATCACATATAGTCCCCCAAGCACTGCCAGGATTAATTCCTGAGTGCAGAGCCAGGAGTAACCCCTGAGCTTTGCCAGGTGTGACCTAACAAAGCAAAAACAAACAAACAAACACACAAAAAGTGTTCCAGGAATCATTACCTAAAGGTGGGTGAGGGAAGGAGAGCAAACACAATTTGGGACATTAACTCAGTGCCTTATCATTTACTTTACACAGTAATTCACAATATGAGCTTATTTTTACTTACTGTGAAGTCTAATAGGACCTCACAAACCTTTCTTTTGAAACGTACATAGGAGCATCAACAACGTTTAAGCAGTGTGCTCTCCTCCAAGCCACAGAATTTTGATATTCCCCAAATCAACTATTTGATACCCAGTACTGGCCTCCATGGCAATGCCACTAGTTACTAGTATAAGAAATCGTTGAATCATTCTAATTAGACCACTAGAGAGAAAATATAACATTGTGAATTATAGTCATGTTCTGTAAACATTTTACTATGGATACCTGAAAATTGATAGATACGAGAAGTGATGCACAGTGACCATATCCCCACTATTTTAAAAGAACCTTTGTATAGAGATATTTTGTGAGCTTACCAAGTTCTGGGAACACAAAATGAAAATGCATGTCTTTTAAAAGGCAAAGTAGACTCAGTAAACAATATTACTGTGGAAGATCTTTGAATCCAAGTAGCTCTGGTTATTCCTCTCCCATTTTTACTGAATATGTGCTGTCTTACTTGTGACTGAATTCTTAGTAAAATGGGTCTGATCACATTTTTGGTTGATCTTACCCTTTGGAAAATGTTTTGCTACTGTAGTAATTGATATGTTTAAAGTGCCTCACTGACTGAAACTGGGACTAATGGAAGCTCATTTCCCATTAGACAGAGATTATTTTCAAGAGACTTTTATCTACCCTGAGATTCATTTTTTATTAGAAATTTTTATTGAACCAAGTTGGGGGGAGAGGGAATAAATGACTAAGAATTTCTTGATAAAAGCTGACACAGTATCCTTTGTCTTAGTAATACTATCTCCAAACAAGCCCCTTTGCCCCATAGTTCAATCATTTGTGAGTTTCTTTATCCAAAATCATTACATTATTTTCAAAGTGTAAATAATATAAAAAGCTGCCTTCACTCATGATAGAGCAGAATAACAACATTACTGTTATTTCAACTTAATCCCTTCATGGATGAATGTGAAAAGCTTTAGTTTTCTGTACTTTTATTTTCAATAAATTGATATAAATTGGTAATTCTTTTGAAGGAGAAATGGAAGGACATATAGTAAAGTGACTCAATCTATATTCAACATTTCACCATTTGCTGATTTAGCAAAATATTTCCTGTTTCTGCTTTTTGCTAGCAACCAAATTATCTCTTTATCATTTATACCCCTTTGAATTAAATTAGCGGATATTTTTCAATAGTCATGAAATTAATCCCAGTTCATGGCCTATCTTTGTCATTTAAAAATTATTTTGATTGAATTAAACTTTTTTTATGGTAACTGGGTATCCTTCAGAAATTTCTTGCCCAACTTTTCTTATTTTTGTCCATTAGAAATCTTATTCTTAGAGAGTCTTTTGAAAGATCACATATCACTAACACTTGACAGTTTGGTGAAAAGAAGTGTGAGCTTTAAAGGCTATTATTAATTTAATTTTCTTTTGCCATGTTTGACTACTATTAAACTAAAAAACTGGTATTCTGTTACAAACATTAAAATATCTGAATTTTTAATGTGTCTTTATGTAAATAGGATAAAGTTGTACCTGGATATCTCTATATTGTTAACCCAAAGATCCCTAAATAAATGGATGTAATAAAAGGCTGAATTGGGACAC